ATGAGGTTTTCAAAGGCAAATCAGCTAGTAAATGTAGTAAATTTGAAGAGTATATCTAACATTAATCCCTGTACAGGAAAAATTTTTAAAGCTGACAAACACCACAAATATCATAAAAAAACCTCCCATAATAATTTGATGAATTAAATGCCAGCCACGCTTGAATATTACTTTTTTCTTACATTTTTGGGTGCATACGTTTTGGTTGCTTCTTCATATGGCAAGGATTTAATAATACCATTTTTTAGAGAGGACAAGAAACATATTCAGTCTTTTTTTTTAGCATCGCAGATCAAATTTGCCTTATTATTTGATCGTTTAGAAAAGTCTGTTTCAGGGGTGCCTGGGTGGCTCAATCAGGTAAACTTCTGACTTTGGCTCAGGTCATAATCTCACCGTTCGAGCTCCACGTGGGGCTCTGTGCTGACAGCTCAGAGTCTGGAGCCTGCTTCAGATTCTGTCTCCCTCTCTCTCTGCCCCTCTCCCTCTTGCAGTCTGTCTCTGTCTCTGTCTGTCTGTCTCTCTCAAATATAAATAAACACTTAAAAATTAAAAAAACATCTCTTTCCGATTCACAATTTGTTATTGGCAATGTCATGTAAATGTTTGTTATCAAACTGGGGGGAAACCTTAAACAAGTTTCTTTCATGTAGGAACTAAAATTCCAGAGCTTTTAAAAAAATGTGTAATTTGGTGTGATTTCTCATTGTAAATAAAGATTCACTTTTACATCTGTCTTTATATTTATAATTTTTTTTCTTTAAAGCATCCCCACTCCCACAATTGTGTATGCATTGGGATCCACAAAACCCGGCCAACTTCAGTGTAGCACATGCTCTTAGGTATCGCTATAGCTATTTGAGGTGTTCAGGCTGGTGAAAAGGCCCCAAACCCAGGAGCTGAGTATTGTCGGGTCATCTGGGTCATTCAAATATGACAAATGGGCACAGGGTCAAAAAGTCACCAGTGAGTCAAACTAAAATGCCTCTTTACGGGCTCATCTCTGAGATATTTTAGGTCCCCAGTAACATTACCAGACCTACCCCTATCTTGCTTCTCAAGGATCCCAGAATTAGGAGGGGCATGCCATTCACCATCTAGTCCTGGCCCCTATTTTTTTTTCTGGCGAAGAGTGTTTCAAAAACTCAAAAACATACCAATGTCCTTAATGAAATTAAACACTTAAATACTGGCAAAAATACATACTGTGTGTGTCTTTTTAAGACTGATTGATTGATTGATTGATTGATTGATTGATTGATAGCACGAATAGGGGAGGGGGTAGAGGGGGAGAGACAGAGAATCCCAAGCAGGCTCCACACCCAGCTTGCAGCCCAACACGGGGCTCAGTCCAGCGACCCCTGGGATCATGACCTGAGGCGAAATCAAGAGTCAGATGCTCAACCACGTGAGCCACCCAGGCGCCCCTATGCTGTGTTTAAATATGCAAACAAAAAGGTGTTTACAAAAGCAAGGTGATTTCCAGCTGCTTGAAAATGAAGGGTGTCAAATGTTTGTGCTAGCACCATCTAGTGACAAAAAGAGGTAAGTCTGGCTCACCAAAATCTGTCAAATACTGCGGAGAGAAAGGGTACCAGTGCTGCTGTTCCACCCCCACCCTTTTCTGGAAGCTGTTCAGAGTACTGTGGTTTACTCAGTTCCACTGTGACTTTTGGTCATTAACTTATGTCCCGAAATAGATCAGATCAGGCAGAGATGAAAGTATGAAGTAAAAACTGGGAGGGAAAGAGACAAGGCTCATTTTAACCTCTGATAGCATTATCTGCAAACCGCAGGCCTCATGTAGTAAGAAGCCCTTTAAAATGGGGAGAGGTCAATACAACTCTGCTGACCCCTGGCTGAACCTGTTGGGTATTCTGGGCCATCCTGGCTTCTAACTGGAAACTGCTATCTGGGCTGACCCCTCAGTTTCTCTCCTTACCAGCTGTTTTTTTTTTTTTCCCCCATTTCTGGCTCAGCCCATATTTTGTCTACCTCCATTCCACTTTGTTTCAGTTCAGTTCCTTTCTTTCTTCCATTCTAACTTTCCCAAAGCAAACTTGGCTTTAGTCATCGACTTGCAGCCTCTATTGAGTTTGTTTTTGTTTTCCTAAATTTTATTTCATGTGGTAAGTACACTTAATATGAGATCTACCCTCTGAACCCTCTTAAGTAGACGTCACGTCCAGTGCAGAGCCCAATGTGGGGCTTGAACTCACGACCCTGAGATCAAGACCTGAGCTGAGATCAAGAGTCAGACACTCGATGGACTGAGCTACTCAGGTGCCCCTTAACAGATTTTTAAGTGTACAACACAGGATTGTTATCTACCGGCACGATGTTGCACAACTGATCTGTAGACCTTATTCATCTTGCATAACTAAAACTTTATAGCCATTGATTAACAGCTCTTCCTATCCCTTTCCCCCCAGTCCCTAGCAACTACCATTATATTCTTTGCTTCTATGAATTTGACTACTTCAGATATCTTACATAAGTGGAATCATGCAGTATTTGTCTTTCCATGACTGGCTTATTTCACTTAGCAAAATGTCTGCAAGATTTGTCCACGTGGTCACATATGGCGGGATTTCCTTCTTTCTTAAGACGAGTAGTATTCCCCTGTATGTAATATCACATTTATTTTATCTATTCATCTGTTCAGTGGACATCTAAGTTGTTTCCGCATCTTGGGGCGCCTGGGTGGCTCAGTCGGTTAATTGTCCAACTTCGGCTCAGGTCATGATCTCACAGTTTGTGAGTTTGTGCCCTACATCGGGCTTTCTGCTGTCAGCACAGAGTCCACTTCGGATCCTGTCTCCCTCTCTCTCTCAAAAATAAAAAAAACATTAAACAAATTTAAGTTGCTGCTACATCTTGACTCTTGCGAATAGTATCACAACGAACATGGGAGCGCTACTCTGTCTTCAAGATCTTGATTTTGGATAAATACCCACATATAGGATTGCTGGGTCATATAGTAGTTCTAGTTTTAATTTTTTGTAGAATTTCCATGGAGGCTGCACCATTTAACATTCTCACCAACAGCGTACGAGCGTTCCACTTTCTCCACATCCTTGCCAACACTTGTTGTCTTTTGTCTGTGTTCTTCCATAATAGCCATCCTAACATGTATGAGGTGATACTGTGGTTTTCATTTGCATGATTAGTTACATTGAGCATCTGTTTATATACCTTTTGGCCGTTTATATGCCTTCCTTTGGAGAAATGTCTATTTAAGTCCATTGCCCATTTTTTAGTTATGTTACTAGTTCTTTTGCTATTAAGTTATAGAAGTTCCTTACATATTTTGGAAATTAATCCTTATCAGATACTATATATGGTTTGCAAATATTTTCTCCCATTCTGTAAGTTGCCTTTTTAGTCTATCAATGGTTTTCATTACTGTAGATAAATTTCTTAGTTTGATGTAGTCCCACTTGTCTATTTTTTCTTTTGTTGTCTGTGCTTTTGGTGTCATAGCTATGACATCATTGCCAAGATCAGTGTTTCCTCTATTTTTTTTTCTAGCTGTCACGCAGTTTTAGGTCTTACATGTAAGTTCTGAATCCATTTTGAGCTGATTTTTGCGTAAGATAATGGCCCGCTTTCATTATTTTGCATACGAATATCCAGTTTTCCCAGCACGATTTGTTGATATTGAGTTTTCATTCAACAAATATTTACTGAGCATCTTTGGGCCTGGTATTACGGTAGGCAAAAGGGGATTCAAGGCTGCAAGCACATCCTCTGGAGCCCAACTGCCTGGGTTCAAATCCTGGTACCATCATTTCTAACTACATGACCTTGGGCAAATTACAAATTCGTTGTACCCCAATGTCCTCATATATAAAAAACGGATAATTATGGTCTTTGCCTCACAGGATTGATGTGAGGATTAAAAGGATTAATATAGAGGGGTGTCTGGGTGGCTCAGTCGGTTGAATGTCCGACTTTGCCTCAGGTCATGATTTCGCAGTTCACGAGTTTGAGCCCCACGTTGGGCTCTGTGCTGACCGCTCAGGGCCTGAAGCCTGCTTCAGATTCTGTGTCTCCCTCTCTCTCTCTGCCCCTCCCCTGCTTGCACTCTTTCTCTCAAAAATAAATAAGCATTAAATTTTTTTTTTAAAGAATTAATATAGAGGGGCGCCTGGGTGGCGCAGTCGGTTAAGCGTCCGACTTCAGCCAGGTCACGATCTCGCGGTCCGTGAGTTCGAGCCCCGCATCGGGCTCTGGGCTGATGGCTCAGAGCCTGGAGCCTGTTTCCGATTCTGTGTCTCCCTCTCTCTCTGCCCCTCCCCCGTTCATGCTCTGTCTCTCTCTGTCCCAAAAATAAACGTTGAAAAAAAAAAAGAATTAATATAGAATTAATATATGCAGAGGTCTTAGAGAGGGTCTGGCACCCGATAAGCACTCTTCAGTGCAGGCTCATAAGCCATGGTCCTTGCCTCTCAAAGAGCTCACAAATCACAGTTGCCCCTATCCACCTGTCCCACCTGGCAGTCAGGACTACCTGGGTCTTCTGACACTTCAAGTGCCCCACAGCTCCTGGCTACCCTTTCCTGAAGCCATGGGATGAACCTGGTGCAAGTTCCTGTATCACAGATTCCTTGTCTGACTCTGGGTAATTTCCACTTCCTGAGTCTCAATGCATATGGAAAGAAAGAAAGCTGGACCAAAATTGATTTCCAACATCCCCACAAACTTCTTGTTCTGGGTATAGCTCAAGTTGAAACTGTATCGGCTTGGGCAAGGCACGGAACCTCTCTGCGTTTGTTTCCTCGCCTACAAAACCAGATAATGGAACTAACCACCCCCCAGGTGGTGGTGAGGGTGCAACAAAGTAACACAAGCCCAGGCTGTGCTCGCTCCCAGAGGGGACGTCAGCCTTCAGACCCACCCTTCTTTGCCATTTAACGCACGCGCGCTGGCGTCCCGTCCCCTCTCCGCGCCGGGATCCGACTTCCGGTTCCGCCGGGACCCAGAAGCCAGGCTGACAAATGGCGGCGTCCACGAAACAGGCCACCGGGGGCGTTGAAGAGGCCGCGGCGGAAGAGGAACCGCGAATTCTGGAACCCGGGGCCGCCCCGTTTGGAAATTTCCCTCAGTATTCCCGCTTCCATCCTCCAGAACAGCGGCTCCGCCTCTTGCCCCCGGAGCTGCTTCGCCGGCTTTTCCCTCAGAGTCCCGAATCGAGGCCGATCCTGGGGCTCGACGTAGGGTGTAACTCTGGGGTGAGTGACGGGGGCGGGGTCGGAGGTCGGGGAGCCGAGCGGTTGGCTTCCTCTGCGTTCGCTGGGGCTGTGGTTTGGGCGTGGCATCACACCCATCACCACTTTCCCCAAATGAGTTTAAACTCCGTTCCGAATTCCTGCGTCCCCGCTTGTGCGTTCGCCGCCTCACGGCCAAACCTCGGATGGGAAGGGCCACCGTTTTGGGGCTTCCGGCGCTTGCCTCCTGTACAGCGTGGCTGGCGACCTGGCTGCAGAGAGGGGGCGTCCGGACACCCGCCTTTGGGAGCGTAGGGTTGGGATTGGGTTACTGGGAGAGAAGAGCCAGGGGTGACGGAATCACGCCTGGAATTAAGATTCGTGTGCCATACGGTGTAGGATGCATCCTGGAGCCAAGTAGATATTTATTTAAAAGCAGTGAGTTGACTGAGTACAGTGGAGAGGGTTGAGAGGGAGGATACAGCTCCTTGGCGGAGGAAGGCATTGCCACGTCTTCTTACCTCAAAGTATTCTTAGGCGTAGAGTGATTGTAGTGAAATTACATTCAAAATATCGACATGCCACCCTTGACACCTATCTGTAACTACTACCATATCCTACAGGAGCAGATATTCTGACCCTATGATTGCAAATCACAGGCATGTAACAAAAAGTAAGTCTCTATTCCTGACCCTAAATTCTCCTTCCCCCCTACACATTGGCAACCGCTGTTTATAATTTCTTGGGTATGTATCCTGTGTGTATGTAGGCATTTATGTATGTATAAATATTACCTCTTTTACCTTTACAAATAATAGCACACTATTTGGCACCTTGCTTTTCACTTAATAATTTGGAGATCACTCATGTCACGACATTCTTTTTAGCAGCTTCAAAATTGTATGCATGTACCATAATTTATAGGGTGCTTTATTTACATTTTTAAAACTCCCAGGCCCCACTGTAGCCCTACTGAATCAGGATCTTGAGTGATTGAGCCCTTGAGTCTATATTTTATTTTTCAAGCTTCCAGGGTATTCTGGGTTTGGGGAATTGAGGTTGGAGAAGGTGAAGAGATGTGGTCGAGGAAGGATGAAGTGACAAATGACTAGTGAAACTGGCACACCCAAGATCAGACAGGAAGAGGGAGTCAGCAAAGAAATAAGTATATAGAAATGGGGAGAAAATTAAGCAGCGTAGTATAGGACCTTCCTACTCTAAATATGGCCCTTAATCTACAACAACAGCATGACTTTTTAAAAGAATTTTTTGTGAACTATGCCACATATACAGAAAAGTGCATAAGACATAAATTTACACTTTATGAACTATTATAAAGCAGACACCTTTATGGCCATTGTCCAGATCAAGAATAAAACATTGTCAGAACCCCAAAAGTCCCTTAACTTTCTCTGTTCCTAAACCGCCCCCCTCCACCCAGAGGGAACAACTAGCCTGACTTATGCTTATTTCCTTGATTTTCTTTATAGCTCACTATTTTTGTATCCCTAAACAATGTAATTTAATCTTATCCATTTTTGAAATTCATATAAATGGAAGCTTGCCATGTATTTTTTGCGTGTGTCTTGCTTTTTTGCTGAACATTGTATATTTGTAAGAGTCATCCATGTTGATGCACTGAGCTGAATTCCTTCATTTTTAACGGCTATTTAGTATTCCATCTTAATGAATATACCACATTTCTTCATCCATGCTACTATTGTTGGACATCTGGGTTGTTTCCAGCCACACTTTCTTCACCTGTACAAAGAGCATAAGTATTTTCCTTACAGGATTGTTGCACAGAGCAAAACAGGTGGTGCATAGAAAAATGCCTTGAAAAATGGATTAGAGCAACACAAATTTGAACTAGTTGTAATGGTTATAGAAGTCAATGTTAGACAAAGGAGATAGTGACTTGTTTAGGAGTCAAAGTGCTGAGGTGGTGAAAATCACAGATCATTAGACCTGGCTAGAAGGAAGTCAGCAGTGACTTTGGGAAGTGATAGATGCAGAAGTAGAATAAATCTCAAAAGGGGGTGGTGAAGCATAAGGCAGACAGTAAAATTGAGGCTGTAGAATGAAGGCTAAGCGAGGACTTTTGGAATCCAGACTTTTCCCAATCACAAGTCTGAGAAGCAGATGTTTATAAGATGGTGCTTATTCTGGTTCTTCACCTTCCTGATAAAGAATGCTGGCTATGCCCTTGGAATCCTTTCTTTCTCCCTGAGGTCTGAGATACCTGAAAAAAGTGAGTTTACCAGCATATTACTCAAGCTGGACAAGACTGCTCTCAGCTCCTTTGCTGCATCCATTTGGCTGTAACTTTCAACCATACAGCCCAACCTACCATCAATGTCAGGGAAGTATAGAGATGACACATTATTGCCTGAGACCCGTGGAGGGCACTGAGAACCTGCTCTGTGGAAAACTTTTTGGGCAACCTTCTTAGTCTAGGAGCGTCATATCTTATAAAGCAAAGACTAAGTGGCAGTCCAATGAGATGATAAGAGATAGAGGTCTTTCTTCCATTCACTGGTTGAGAGCTGCAATGACAAAGCTCTTTTGGATTTCTCTAGGATCTGAGTGTGGCTCTATACAAACACTTCCTTTCCTTACGTGATGGGGAGACCTGCTCAGATGCCTCAGGAGAACTCCATCTACTCTGCTGCGACATAGATCCAGTCCTGGTGGAACGAGCTGAAAAAGAATGTCCTTTTCCTGATGCCCTGACCTTTATCACCCTGGACTTTATGAATCAAAGAACCCGGAAAGTTCTCTTGAGCTCTTTCTTAAACCAGTTTGGACGGTCAGTTTTTGACATTGGCTTCTGCATGTCAGTAACCATGTGGATTCATCTGAACCATGGGGACCGTGGTCTGTGGGAGTTCCTAGCCCACCTTTCCTCCCTCTGCCGCTACCTCCTTGTGGAGCCTCAGCCCTGGAAGTGTTACCGGGCAGCTGCAAGGCGTCTCCGGAAGCTGGGCCTCCATGACTTTGACCACTTCCGTTCCCTTGCCATCCGAGGTGATATGGCCAATCAGATTGTGCAGATCTTGACCCAGGACCATGGCATGGAATTAGTATGCTGCTTTGGCAACACCAGCTGGGACCGAAGCCTTCTGCTCTTCAGGGCAAAACAAGCCACAGAGACTCATCCAATTCCTGAATCACTGGTAGACGAAGGGAAAGAAAAGAACAGATTAAGATCCTGGAGACAGTGAAATGGGAGGGTGGGAAGGCCAGGAAAGAGATATTGAAAGAGTGTTATACAAAGAATTAAGTTCACTGTCCTTAATTGGCGATTGTAAGGCAGCCTCAAAACCTGGCAGAAACTTTTGGCAAAATGTCCAAGACATGCAATTGAAAGAATCAGTATCTATTCCCCACTGTTTGAGTTGATTCTGGAAGAAGAGACTATCTGTGGAGCAATGAGCTGGGCTCTCCGGATTGAGATGGCATAGAAAAAGTGATCTTGGTTCTAGGATATGGAGGGGGCTGCTTCTAGTGGTTAGAGACTTAGCCCAGGCTAGCCTTAGAATGTATCTGTTCCATGGGCAACTTGAATCTGATCTGGCTTCTTCAGGCTTTTGCTGGACTTCCTTATCCTGCCTTCAGGCAGCACCTCACAATACAATCTGGAATGAAGAGTCACTGCCTTGGCTAAAGGAGAGAATTAGTATGAAAATCATCTTATCTTTCCAGAGCAGGTCATGTATCCAACATGCCCAGGCTCAGCACAGCATGTAACAGATACTAGCCAAAATGCGCTGGCTAGCATTTATAAGATGTTTAAAAGATTTAAATTATGACCCAATATCCAGCTGGTACAAATACAATGAATGAAGTGGGACTGTATAATTATATATAATAAAAGTGACTTGAGTATGATTGAGAATGCCCTGTGACTCTGGGGTAGGTAGGAAACCTCTGCTTTTAACCACTCTATCCAGGGAGTTTTCAGCTCAAGAAAAAGAACCTCACCCAAGCTCAGAACTGAAAACATACCAGAGTAAGTTAATTTAGGACTTTTTTTTGTCAGCGTCCTCTGCCAAAGCACACCAACATGGGGGTGGGAGGTACACATCAGTATGGCAGTGGGAATATGTGCAGGGAAACAGGCATAAAATGCAGTCTACAATTGAATGACTATAGCATAAATGCTGTGGGATAGGCATCACTGATATCTGTCAGGTTTTGACACCCATGAGTTGAGTCCAAGGGAAAGTGGGAGATGGAGAAGGATTTGGTGGAGAGAAGATAGGAAAACAAAATATACCTAGCTAAGAAGGGCGACTGGATTGATGAGCTTCAAAATCCTTAAGATCCTATTATTTTCTGAAGTTATAGAAGGAAGGCTGGGGAATAAGAGTGTCTGAACCACCAATTAAACTTTGGACCTATTGGTGGAGAAGATAAAAGTTCCTGCTAGGGAATTTGAACTCTATGCATAGAGAGCAAAAGCTAGTACATTCCCCAAACGATAGGAGATTGGAACCAAAACCTTCATTTAGGAAAACCGGTTTTTCTATTTTGTGCAGGATAATTATGTGGTTGGTGTCATTTCCAATCTCAGACTCCAGTACTACTTTTCAATCTTTTTATATTCCTGCTCCTGATCACTTTCATCCTAGTGACTCTTGTGGACTTTTACCCTTCTGCAGGTTCTTGACTCTATATCCCTGTACCACTAGTCTAAGCAGATGACCTAACCACCAACCAGCACCATTCTTGTTTGCTGTATCAGGAAGTCTTTTCTTGCTCTCAGTCTTTTTTTTTTTTTTTTTAATTTTTGTTTTATTATTACTGTTTTTTTTGACAGCGTGAACTTGGGAGGGGCAGAGAGGGAGACAGAGGATCCAAGCAGGCTCCAAGCTGACAGCAGAGATCCTGATGTGGGGTTGAACTCACAAACAGTGAGATCGTGACCTGAGCGTAAGACTCTTAACTGAGCTATCCAGGGACAGTTGCCTTCAGTCTTAAATCCCTTCATCTTTCCACCTTTTCACTTCTGAACTTACCCAATGAACTTTTACCCAGATAACCTCTGCCTGAGTTCCTGATCCCAACCTCTACTACTTCTCCCAGACTGCTTTATTGAGGATCCCTTTGATGTCTCCTTGGCTTCATTAACTCCTTCCTGTCCACCTGCCAACATGCTCAGTTCTCTCTCTAAAACCACCAAGTTTTCCTGTTTCCAATCTCTCTTCAAGTTTATTCAGTCTCTCCATCTCTTCACCACCAAATGTGAGCAAAGCCCTTGAAAGGGTTGACTCCACAGTCTATTTCCCATTCATCAATGACCTCCTGAATGCCAAATTCTGAGGCCTCTTGTTCAGTCTTCCTCCTGGGTCATGGCACTATTCAGCACTGTTGATCCCTTCTTTAAACTGCTCTCCCTTGGTTTCTTCACCATACCCTTCTCCCTTTATTCTCTTCCTATCTCTTAGTTTTTATGTACTCTTTAAGCAGTTAGTTCAAATTTTAATTGAACACGTTACCTGGAGAGTCCTGGATTCATCTCCAGAAACAGTGATTCAGGTTAAGAATGGGGCTTGAGGGTTGGGTTGGTTTGGTTTGATTAGATTTGTGGGAGGGTTTGTTGTTTGTTTGGGTTTGTTTATTTGTTTGTTGCATTTTTTTATCATGGTAAAATGTATGTAACAAAATTTATCATTTTAACTATTTTAAAGTGTATAATTCCATGGCGTTAAATCACAAGGAGGAGCCTGTTTTTAACAAGCACCCCAGGTGACTCTGATGCAAAATAGACCACATTTTGATTGCTTAGGACCCCTTAGGGTCCATCCAGTCCTCTTCTACATATTTTTCATGGAGTGAGTTCCTTCACTCCCATGTGTTTAGCAACTACCTATATGCTAATAACCCCCAAATATATTGGTGGCCTCACTTCCACAGTTGCAGATTAGCATTTTTCCTGTTTTGTAATCATATCCTCTTAGATAGTTCTTAGGCACCTCAGATTCAACATATTCCAGAAGCAAACTCATTACCCTCATTCTAAACCTGATCCT